TGCGTGAAATTACCGCCTCCCTTTCTTTGTCGACATTTGAAAGTTCCTCAAAATATTCTCAACATCTACCCAATACTTCCATCTTCCCATCTACTAACTCCCCTACTCTGTTTTTAACTGATAAATCCATTCGTTCCCTAGGGTTTCTTGTTTAACTCACTCCAAATTTTTTTCTTTTCATTAAAATTTCTTGACAGGGCCTCTCCTACCCTATCATCTGCTCTCCTTTAGCACTCTCACCACTCTCTTCACCTTTCTTTTACTCTCCATATACTCTACTCTTCTTATAACACTTCTGTTTAGTAAAAACCTCTCATAAGCTAACTTCTTTTATCACACCCTTTACTTCATCATTCCACCAATCACTCCTCTTTCCTCCTGCACCCACCCTCCTATAACCACAAACTTCTGCCCCACATTCTAATACTGCATTTTTAAAGCTATTCCAACCCTCTTCAACCCCCCACTACTCATACTTGCATCAGCCCACCTTTCTGCCAATAGTTGCTTATATCTCACCCGAACTTCCTCCTCCCTTAGTTTATACACTTTCACCTCCCTCTCACTTGTTGTTGCCATTTTCCTCTTTTCCCATATACCTCTTACTCTAACTGCAGCTACAACTAAATATTGATCCGATATATCAGTTGCCCCTCTATAAACGTGTACATCCTGGAGCCTACCCATTTATCCACCAATGCATAATCTAACTCTAAGTAGTAGGTTTGTAGACAGTAACCGCCCAGGGAGGTACTACCGTCCTGCCAAGTGAGTTTAAAACGAAAGTCTGTAATTGTTTTACATGATGGTAGGATTGCTGGTGTCCATTTTTCTGTCTCAAACATGCAAGGTTTCAGGTACGTCTTGCTACTTCTACTTACACTTAGGTCACACTACACATACATGTACAAGCATATATATATATACACACCCCTCTGGGTTTTCTTCTATTTTCTTACTAGTTCTTGTTTATTTCGTCTTACCTCCATGGGGAAGTGGAACAGAATTCTTCTTCCGTAAGCCATGCGTGTTGTAAAAGGCAACTAAAATGCCAGAAGCAAGGGGCTAGCAACCCCTTCTCCTGTATACAGTGGAACCTCAAAAATCGAACGTATCACATATCGAACGTTTCGAAAGTAGGACCATTTTTTCAGACACACTGTCCCTATTATCGAACGCGCCCCTATTTTCGGACCGCCGGGTATGGGACCTTTCTGCCGCCCGCTCTGTCTGCGCCCCCGCGCAGGCGCCGTGAGCAGTCTAGCTTTGTTTATGTTTGAGTGAACACTAACCTGCGCTCTCACTCACGCATTTTACGATTATTTCGTTGTGTTTAGTGCTTGTGGGACTGAAATAAGCTGCCTTGGGCCCAAAGAAACTTGCAAGTGGTACCCCTGTGGTAAAGAAAGTGAGAAACACCATAGATGTGAAGAAGGAAATAATACAGAAGTATGAGAGTGGTGCGAGACTTGTTGAGCTTGCCAGGATGTGTGGGAAAAAACAAGTCGACCATCGGTTCTATCCTGTCAAAGAAAGAACAAATCAAGGAAGCTGATGTTGTGAAAGGTGTTAATATAGGGAGTGGTTGAGGTGCCTTCTTCAAAGATTAAGGAGATTTGTGCCAAGTGGAATGATGTCCAAATGTTTGTGCAGAAGTACCACCCTGAGCAAGCTGAAACAAGCCATCTTTGCAACAAGTTCAGTGACAGAACCATGTCCCATTTTAGGAAAATGTTAAAGAGGCGCCAGAAACACAGGACTGTGGACAGTTATTTTGTGAGACAGTGGTCCAGTGACTCTCAAGCTGGTACTAGTGGCATTAAAAGACAGAGAAGGGAAGTAACCCAGAGAGGGCTTTCCCCCTGAAGTCCTCATGGAGGGGGATTCTCCTTCCAAACACTAACCCCAACTCCCTCTCTCCTCCTCCCTATCTTTCAGATGCCATCACCAATCTTCAATAAAGGTAAGTAAAAATGTTATTTTATATGTATTACTATACATAATTAAAAACTATAGTATTTGTTGTATGTAAAACTGTAATTAATCTCTATAAAATGAATTTTTTGTGTGAATATTTTTGGGTTTCTGGAACGGATTAATTGTATTTCCATTATTTCTTGTGGGAAACATTGCTTCGAATTTCAGACTTTTCGAATTTAGAACTAGCTCCTAGAACGGATTAAGTCCAATTTTTGAGGTTCCACTGTATATTACTAAATGTAAAAGGAGAAACTTTCGTTTTTCCTTTTGGGCAACCCTGCCTCGGTGGGATACGGCACGGCCGGTGTGTTGAAAGAAAGAAGACAATCTAACAAACTACTTTCATTACGTGCTAAATCATACCTTGTATATTTATTTATCCTCTTTTTCATAAAATATGTATTACTTATTACCAAACCTCTTTCTACACATAGCTCAATTAAAGGCTCCCCATTTTCATTTACCCCTGGCACCCCAAATTTACCTACTACTCCCTCCACAACATTTTTGCCCACTTTAGCATTGAAATCTCCAACCACAAGTACTCTCATACTTAGTTCAAAACTCCCCACGCATTCACTCAACATTTCCCAAAATCTCTCTCTCCCCTCTACACTTCTCTCTTCTCCAAGTGCATATATGCTTACTGTAACCCACTTTTCACATCCAACCTTTATTTTACTCAACATAATCATTGAATTAATACACTTCTAGTCCCTCTTTTCCTGCCATATCTTTTCCTTCAACATTATTGCTACTCCTCCTTTAGTTCTATTTGAAACCCCTGACCTAATCCATTTATTCCTCTCCACTGAAACTCTCCCACCCCCTTCAGCTTTGTTTCACTTAAAGTCAGGACATCCAGCTTCTTCTCATTCATAACATCCACAATCATTTCTTTCTTATCATTTGCACATTCAGACTTCCCACTTTGACATTTTTCTTCTTATTCTTTTTAGTAATTATTACACAAGAAGGGGTTACTAGCCCATTGTTCCCGGCATTTTAGTCGACTTTTACAACACGCATGGCTTACGGAGGAAAGATTCTTATTCCACTTCCCCATGGATATAAAAAGAAAAGTAATAACACCAAGAACTATTAAGATAAAATCAAAGAAAACTCAGATGAATGTGTATAAATAAACATGTACATGTGTAGTGTGGCCTAAGTGTAAGTAGAAGTAGCAAGACGTGCCTGTAATCTTCCATATTTATCAGACAGACAAAAGACACCAGCAATCCTACCATCATGTAAAACAATTAGAGGCTTTCGCTTTATACTCACTTGGCAGGACGGTAGTATCTCCCTGGGTGGTTACTGTCTACCAACCTACTACAATCCTACTACAAACCTACTACAATCCGCTGTTGTATGGCAAATAAACCGAGGCAAGGGTATGTCTGTAATAATCCACATTTACATCTTTACCAAGCAAATGTCAGCCCACCACAAATTTGTAAAATTTCCATACAAAGCACAAAAAAAAAAATGTAATTTTATGAAAAAATTACAGAAACACACAAAACCTAAATATCACTTAACCCCTTCAGGGTCAAGGCCCAGATCTGAAGTGGTGCCCCAGTGTCCAAGAATTTAAAAAAAAAAGTTATTTTTTCTTATGAAATGGTAGAGAATCTTTTTGTGAGGGTAATAAAACAAAAAGTACGAAATTTGATGGAAAATTGATGAAATTATGCTCTCGCGAATTTTAATGTGTCAGCAATATTTACGAATCGGAGATTTTGCCGACTTTGACTCCCATTTTAGGCCAATTACATTATTCCAGTCAACCAAATTCTTAACTATTTCACTAGTATTACTTCTATTCTATCGATTGAGCACAAGAAATCGCCAAGTCAACTGCTTCAACTACAAATTAAAGTGATCTGAAATTGTTAATTTGGTCAATTTAACACAAAGTTCAAAATATTCCAATTTCAAAATAGGGTCCAGAATAAACAATGTAGGTATTCCTGGAACTAAACTAACATTTCCTCTGTTCATTAGTTACCTTTTGAGGCTTTACAAATAAATTCCATTTTGATTTTTTATTCACAATAAATTTTTATTCACACCAAAAAATAAAGAGTTACTTTACAATACTGAAAAAATTGTAAAAATATCATCACCATATTTGTGTACATATTAGATCCACCACTGGCAGTTTAACGGTGAGGCCCTTTTGTTACTCTTAAAATATGGAAAAAAATTTAACATTTCTGCTACTTTGAGCTTTTTTTCAACCATTTCCATGCAAAAAACCAATAAAAATCACTCTTTTCTGAATATGTCTTCCTTTTTCAAAGAACCAAAAATCGAAAATAAACATAAAAAACAACGAAAAAACACTGCAAAGTCCCTTTTTTAATCGAAAAATCATATTTCGTTTTTTTTTCTCGTTATACACAGCGGCTGTAGGATCTGTTTATGTGGTCACACTACCACATACATGAAACGTCATACTGGCCCAAAGTACCACTCACAGTTTTCAGAGTAGCGGGAGCTCTTGACGTAGATCAGGGGTTTGGCCCTAACAAAGCCGTAGACAAGGACGGCCCCCTCAAAGGGTTAAAAACCCGTAATACCCACACAAGGATGAGGTAAAAAAAAAACACAACTGAATGTTTCACATTGACTCTTCCATGAAATACGAAAAAAAAAAATTAGCAAATATTTGAGCACTACTTAACACTTGTATTTTTTTTTACACTTTGGGCATAAGATGTAATAAAATTTTTCCTACTACTACTTACTGTTTTTTTTTTATTATTATCAACAGGGGGGGGGGCCCACCCACCAAGCAGGGTGGCCCGAAAAAGGAAAAACTTTCACCATCATTTATTCACTGTCTTTCCAGAAGGGGGCTTTTCACTACAGTTTTTTTAAAATGCAAAAAATTAACAAACCCCTCCTTCAAGTGCAGGCACTGTACTTCCCATCTCTTACTGTATTATTATTTATTACTATTAGTGAATTATTATAATAAAAGTATGTACTAGAGGATAAAAAATGCAACATTAATAGTTTACCTGCTGCTGCTGACGGGTCTCCATGACCATAGTTGAGGGATCAGGTTCAGCAACGGAATATCCAACAAGCGTTGGCCCAAACACTTTTGCCAAGTTGGAGATTGGCATTTTGCACTCAGGGCATTCAGCAACTCTACAAAATATAAATACACATAAGAGGGAGAGTGTTTAACATACCCATCTTAACATCTTTATGAACAAGTCTACCATTTTAAACTTTATAACAGATTTGTACTTTCCTACATTACTATTTATACACTAGAGCACTTTCTTTTTTACCACACAGGTCATTTTCTGCCAAGGTTTGGGGGTGGAAGGTCAGGGTGGTGATACAAAGGCAACACATTCATCATCATTTAGTCAATCACCATTATTCCAAAAGTGTAGACATTAATTCAAATGACTCTTGAAATTACAGCAGCTCCACCTATCCATCAAAGTGCAGATAAGGTGCTTACCACCTTCAGAAAACCAGTTTCTTCTGAATCCCTTCATAAATGCCATCATTCCAACATGTCAAATCCAGAAATCTTGTCTCTACTCTGATTTAATTAACACATTCAATTATGTTGTACATGACTAGTGTACAATACTGACAAGATGAAAATTTAGACATGTGCAACATCTAGGTATATTTATTGTAGACATTTTGCCATCAAAAGAAGAAAATCGTCAAAGTGGGAAGTCTGAATGTGCGTGGATGTTGTGCAAATGATAAGAAAGAGATGATTGTGGATGTTATGAATGAGAAGAAGCTGGATGTCCTGGCTTTAAGTGAAACAAAGCTGAAGGGGATGGGAGAGTTTCAGTGGAGAGGAATAAATGGGATTAGGTCAGGGGTTTCAAGTAAGAGTTAGAGATAAAGAAGGAGTAGCAATAATGTTGAAGGATAAGATATGGCAGGAAAAGAGGGACTATAAATGTATTAATTCAAGGATTATGTGGAGTAAAATAAAGGTTGGATATGAAAAGTGGGTTATAGTAAGTGTATATGCACCTGGAGATGAGAGAAGTGTAGAGGAGAGAGAGAGATTTTGGGAAATGTTGAGTGAATGCGTGGGGAGTTTTGAACCAAGTGTGAGAGTACTTGTGGTTGGGGATTTCAATGCTAAAGTGGGTAAAAATGTTGTGGAGGGAGTAGAAGGTAAATTTGGGGTGCCAGGGGTAAATGTAAATGGGGAGCCTTTAATTGAGCTATGTGTAGAAAGAGATTTGGTAACAAGTAATACATATTTTATGAAAAAGAGGATAAATAAATATACAAGGTATGACGGGTGGATAAAAGGTTAACGGGTAGGCTCCAAGATGTACATGTTTATAGAGGGGTAACTGATATATCGGATCATTATTTAGATGTAGCTACAGTTAGAGTAAGAGGTAGATGGGAAAAGAGGAAGGTGGTAACAACAAGGAGTGAAGTGAAAGTGTATAAACTAAGGGAGGAGGAACTTCGGGTGAGATATAAGCGACTATTGGCAGAAAGGTGGGCTAGTGCAAAGATGAGTAGTGGGGGGGTTGAAGAGGGTTGGATGAGTTTTAAAAATGCAGTATTAGAATGTGGGGTAGAAGTTTGCAGTTATAGGAGGGTGGGGGCAGGAGGAAACAGGAGTGATTGGTGGAATGATGAAGTAAAGGGTTGATAAAAGAGAAAAAAGTTAGCTTACGAGAGGTTTTTACGAAGCAGAAGTGTTATAAGAAGAGCAGAGTATATGGAGAGTAAAAGAAAGGTGAAGAGAGTGGTGAGAGAGTGCAAAAGGAGAGCAGATGATAGAGTGGGAGAGGCACTGTCAAGAAATTTTAATGAAAATAAGAAAAAATTTTGGAGAGAGTTAAACAATTTAAAGAAAGCCTAGGGAAGTATGGATTTGTCAGTTAAAAACAGAGTAGGGGAGTTAGTAGATGGGGAGGGGGGAGGTATTAGGTAGATGGCGAGAATATTTTGGGGAAACTTTTAAATTTGAGGAAAAAAGGGAGGCGGTAATTTCATGCACTGGCCAGGAGGTTTACCATCTTTTAGGAGTGAAAAAAGAGCAGAATGTAAGTGTGGGGGAGGTATGCGAGGCATTACGTAGAATGAAAGGAGGTAAAGCAGCTGGAACTGACGGGATCATGACAGAAATATTAAAAGCAAGCGAGGGGGGGGGGGAATAGTGTTGGAGTGGTTGGTACTTTTGTTTAATAAATTTATGAAAGAGAGGAAGGTACCTAGGGATTGGCAGAGCATGTATAGTCCCTTTATATAAAGGGAAGGGGGACAAGACAGAGTGTAAAATTATATAGGAATAAGTTTATTGAGTATACCAGGAAAAGCGTACGGTAGGGTTATTATTGAAAGAATTAGAGGTAAGACAGAATGTAGGATTGCAGATGAGCAGGAGGTTTCAGATGGGTAGGGGGTTGTGAGATCAAGTGTTTACATTGAAGCATATATGTAACAGTATTTAGATAAAGGTAGGGAAGTTTTTATTGCATTTAGGATTTTAGAAAGGCATTATGAAGAGTGGATGGGGGGAGCAATGTGGTAGATGTTGCAAGTATATGGAATAGTGGTAAGTTATAAATGCTGTAAGATTTTTTTATGAGGATAGTGAGGCTCAGGTTAGGGTGTGTAGAAGAGAGGGGGGACTACTTCCCGGTTTAAAAATAGGCCTTAGACAGGATGTGTAATGTCACCATGGTTGTTTAATATATTTATAGATGGGGTTGTAAAAGAAGTAAATGCTAGGGTGTTCGGGAGAGGGGTGGGATTAAATTATGGGAAATCAAATACAAAATGGGAATTGACACAGTTACTTTTTGCTGATGATACTGTGCTTATGGGAGATTCTAAAGAAAAATTGCAAAGGTTAGTGGATAAATTTGAGTGTGTGTGTAAAGGTAGAAAGTTGAAAGTGAACATTGAAAAGAGTAAGGTGATGACGGTATCAAATTATTTAGATAAAAATTGGATATCAAATTGGGGAGGAGGAGTATGGAAGAAGTGAATGTTTTCAGATATTTGGGAGTTGACATGTCAGTAGATGGATTTATGAAGAATGAGGTTAATCATAGAATTGATGAAGGAAAAAAGGTGAGTGGTGCATTGAGGTATATGTGAAGGCAAGAAATGTTATCTATGGAGGCAAAGAAGGGAATGTATGAAAGTATAGTAGTACCAACACTTTTATATTGGTGTGAAGCTTGGATTGTAAATGCTGCAGCGAGGAGGCAGTGGAGATGTCCTGTCTAAGGGCAATGTGTGGGTGTAAATATTATGCAGAAAATTCGGAGTGTGGTATATTAGGAAAAGGTGTGGAGTTAATAAAAGTATTAGTCAGAGGGCTGAAGAGGGTTTGTTGAGGTGGTTTGGTCATTTAGAGAGAATGGATCAAAGTAGAATGACATGGAGAGCGTATAAATCTGTAGGGGAAGGAAGGCGGGGTAGGGGTCGTCCTCGAAAAGGTTGGAGGGAGGGGCTAAAGGTGTTGTGGGTGAGGGGTTTGGACTTCCAGCAAGCGTGCGTGAGCGTGTTAGATAGGAGTGAATGGAGACGAATGGTTTTTGGGACCCGACAAGCTGTTGGAGTGTGAGCAGGGTAATATTTAGTGAAGGGATTCAGGGAAACCGGTTATTTTATATAACCAGACTTGAGTACTGGAAATGGGAAGTACAATGCCTGCACTCTAAAAGGAGGGGTTTGGGATATTGGCAGTTCGGAGGGACATATTGTGTATTTTTATACGTATATACTTTTAAACTGTTGTATTCTGGGCACCTCTGCAAGTGTGAGTGAGGTAAAAGTGTTGAATGATGATGAAAGTGTTTTCTTTTTGGGGATTTTCTTTCTTTTTGGGTCACCCTGCATCGGTGGGAGACGGCCGACTTGTTGAAAAAAAAAAGTTAGCAATCAATTCTGTATTATCTGTACAACATCCACTTACATTCTAACAACCTAACCTCAAAAATGCTTTTTTCTTTTAATAACTGATACAGACGCTATTAGCCCTTTGTTCCTTGCATTTTAGTTGCCTTTTTCGCTATGTACGACTTATTGAGGAAGGATTTTTCTCTCGCTTCTCAACCTTTAAACTGTCCAAACGTAGATCTACGTTCACTCGTGTAGCGCTCTGAACATAAATCTAAGTTTTATTTTACATGCTTTCACATGTCAAAAAAAAAAAAAAACGTAATCTACGTTCAGAGAGCTACGCAAGAAAACATATATCTATATTTGGACAGTTTAAAGGTTAATGGAATTTGCAAGGAAACATTAAAGGTCAGGAACTATTAAGGAATGCAGAAAAAGTCTATATACATACACCCATATCTTCATCTTTACATAAATTTAGCATATGCTGGATTTTTTTTTTTTAACAAGTCAGCCGTCTCCCACCAAAGCAGGGAGACCCAAAAAGAAAGAAAATCCTCAATAAGAAAATACATTCATTATCATTCAACACTTTCACCTCACTCACACAATCACTTTTTGCAGAGGTGCTAAGAATACAACACTTTAAAAGCATATACGTATAAAGATACACAACATATCCTTCCAAACTGCCAATATCCCAAACCCCTCCTTTAACCTTTAAACGGTCCAAACGTATATATATGTTTTCTTTGTCATTCATTCAACATTGCCACGATAAGCCTGAGTCACCTAGACATGAGAGAATGGGTGTGCGCACTCACTGTGAGCCATATTAAAATAATTGGGGATGCCTGGGTACCATGTGATCTTTTTTCCTTTTAAAAAAGATTTTTTTTTTCACTCAAAAAATTTGGGGCGCTACGCGTGTGAACATATATATACGTTTGGACCGTTTAAGGGTTAAAGTGCAGGCATTGTACTTCCCATTTCCAGGACTCAAGTCTGGCTATATAAAAATAACCAGTTCCCCTGAATCCCTTCACTAAATATTACCCTGCTCACACTCCAACAGCTCATCAGGTCCCAAATACCATTCGTCTCCATTCACTCCTATCTTACATGCTCATGCACGCTTGCTGGAAGTCCAAGCCCCTCACCCACAAAACCTCCTTTACCCCATCCCTCCAACCTTTTCAAAGATGACCCCTACCCCGCCTTCCTTCTACAGATTTATATGCTCTCCATGTCATTCTACTTTGATCCATTCTCTCTAAATAACCAAACTACCTCAACAACCCTTCTTCAGCCCTATGACTAATACTTTTATTAACTCCACACCATCTCCTAATTTGCACGCTCCAAATTTTCTGCACAATATTGACGTCACACATTATCCTTAGACAAGACATCTCCACTGCCTCCAACCGTCTCCTCGCTGTAGGTTGGTACACAGCAAGCACCCAGGGTGGTATTACCGTCCTGCCAAGTGAGTGTCAAACGAAAGCCTGTAATTGTTATACATGATGTTAGGATTGCTGGTGTCTTTTGTCTGTCTCATAAATATGCAAGATTACAGGTACGTCTTGCTACTTCTACTTACACTTATGTCACACTACAGTGGTTGTTTTGCATATTCTGAAATCACCTGTTTACTGTGATCTTATTGCACATACATGTATGTACACGTTTATTTATGTGCAAGAAAGGTATGAAATACCGACAATATGAAAGTTAAGACACATGTGCAACATGTTAAGACACATGTTGCACATGTGTCTTAACTTTCACATTTATTTATACACTCATCTGAGTTTTCTTTGATTTTATCTTAATAGTTCTTGTTCTTATTACTGTTCCTTTTATATCCATGGTGAAGTGAAGTAAGAGTCTTTCATCCGTAAGCCATGCGTGTTGTAAAAGTCAACTAAAATGCCGGGAACAATGGCCTAGTTACCCTTTTTCCTGTAATGATTACTAAAAAGAATAAGAAAAAAAAAATTATGTTGGATGTTAGTAGTAATTCAGATTAACCTGCCACCGTGTATTCATAAAAACAAAAATACAGTGCCAGTAATCCTGCTAATGAAAACCATTTTACAGGTCTAATTTTCACATGTATGACAGAAAGGTAATACTACAGACCTTTCTGGGTGACTGCTGCCTACCATCTACTACTTCTGAATACAGATGTAATAACCACTTCCATTTCATCATGGCACATCTGTACTCTTACAATTTCTTCAGGTCACATTAATACTACACAATACCATATCAGTGATGACAATAGTCATATTTATATTACATCTTGATGTACCCATTTTCATTTCTAACCTTTCAGAATGCAATATTGTTAAGTTCAAACCTTTGCAGATGTGTGATGACCCAAGCCAATGTATCACGGTTAGGCTGAGGTAACTCTGAAATAGCTTGATACAAAGCAGCTGTGGAGTCTTGGGCTTCTGATTTTTCAGCAGCACTTGTGAAGTCTTTCCAAAGAAGGTGTGTGACAAGGGGCTCCTTCAGTGATCTCATGAAGTCCTTCAGAGCTCCACATATGACATGAACATCAACTTGTGAAAGATTGGGCAGACCTTTTCCCCTTAGGAATCGTTCCTATAGAGAAAAATTATGCATCAAAAAATATTTTGAATTCATACATAAAGGCAGGAAGAACTAGACCTAATTTGGAATATAATTATCTCACTAAAACAAGGTAAAACTATAACAGGAAAAACTTCCCAACAACAGATGAACTATCCCTAAAATATGACCTCATAAAAAATAAAATTCAAACTTCATTATGAAATAACAAAAAAAAGGCACAATACCATGACTGGAACGATACACAAATAACCCGCACATAGAAGAGAGGAGCTTATGGCGACGTTTCGGTCCGACTTGGACCATTTACAAAGTCACACTAACGAGAAGTAGAGCTGGACAGGTATATATAGGCAGGAAGAGGTAGTGGTGGTAGTAGTACTAGTGGTGGTGGTAGTTGTTGTAGTAGTAGTAGTATAGTAGTGTAGTAGTATAGTAGTGTAGTAGTAGTGTAGTAGTATAGTAGTAGTGTAGTAGTATAGTAGTATAGTAGCAGTGGTATAGTAGCAGTGGTATAGTAGCAGTGGTATAGTAGTAATAGTATAGTAGTGGTATAGTAGTAGTAGTATAGTAGTAGTATAGTAGTGGTATAGTAGTGTAGTGGTATAGTAGTATGTAGTAGTGGTATAGTAGTATTGGTATAGTAGTAGTAGTATAGTAGTAGTATAGTAGTAGTATAGTAGTAGTATAGTAGTAGTATAGTAGTAGTGGTATAGTAGTAATAGTATAGTAGTAGTATAGTAGTAGTAGTATAGCAGTAGTGGTATAGTAGTAATAGTATAGTAGTAGTGGTATAGTAGTAGTAGTATAGTAGTAGTAGTAGTATAGTAGTAGTAGTATAGTAGTAGTAGTATAGTAGTATAGTAGTAGTAGTATAATAGTAGTATAGTATAGAAGTGTATAGTAGTAGTAATAGTAGTAGTAACAGTAGCAGCAGTAATAGTAGTAAAAATAGTAGTAGTAATAGTTGTAGTAATAGTATAGTAGTAGTAGTATAGTATAGTAGTAGTATAGTATAGTAGTAGTATAGTATAGTAGTAGTATAGTATAGTAGTAGTATAGTATCAGTAGTAGTATAGTATCAGTAGTAGTATAGTATCAGTAGTAGTATAGTAGTAGTAGTTTAGTAGTAGTATAGTAGTAGTGGTAGTTTAGTAGTAGTAGTAGATTAGTAGTAGTATAGTAGTAGTAGTAGATTAGTAGTAGTATAGTAGTAGTAGTAGATTAGTAGTAGTATAGTAGTAGTAGTATATAGTAGTATATAGTAGTATAGTAGTAGTAGTATAGTAGTAATAATAGTGGCAGAGATGGAAGGAAGTATTAATGGGGAAGTAAGGAGGAGGAGCCAGTCAAATACAAAGAAAGGGGAGCACTGCCAGGGAGCTAGGTGCCCACAGAGGGAGAGCAAGTGCACAGAGGTGGGGGGGGGGAGATAATGAAATTTCATTATTTCTCCTCCCCCTCACTTCTGTGTTCTTGCTCTCCCTCTGTGGGCACCTAGCTCCCTGGCAGTGCTCCCCTTTCTTTGTATTTGACTGGCTCCCCCTCCTTACTTCCCCATTACTACTTCCTTCTATCTCTGCCACCACTACTACTACTACTACCACCACTACCTCTTCCTGCCTATATATACCCGTCCTGCTCTACTTCTCGTTAGTGTGACTTTGTAAATGGTCCAACTCGGACCAAAACGTCATCACAAGCTCCTCTCATCTATGTGCGGGTTATTTGTGTATCATGAAATAACCGTATTCATCGACAACCATCGCAGCTAAGATGTATGAAATGAGAATAGCAGCTATAGAATATCCTAAACATCAAGATACTGTAGATACAATTAAGAAAATTGAGATCCCCAAAAGAGACACCAATGAAGAGGGACTCGATGAGAAGACTTTATCAAACACGTTCGCCCTCTTCTGACCTGAAAGATGCTTAGTCTTGATGTTAAGTTCCTCTTCATTAATGCCCATCTTAATTTTCTCAGAGAAAAGTAATTTTATTAATAAAACAAAACAATTATTAACAGTCATATAAAAGCCAAGCACTTCAAAGCTAAATGGCAAAACCCATACCTAAAAAAATGAAAAACAAACAGGCTAGTTTTTTTTTTTTTTTTTACACAGCTGGTTCCCACAGAGGCCAAGAAGGGTTGAATTTAATAACCTTCCTAAAATGGGCCTGTAGGTCTACTGAGTATTTCTCCATTCTTGTTTTTATATCCATGAATAGCTTTAAAAATAGGCTGGCCAAATATACAATTAAAATACTGGCTTTGAGATGGATCTGCTTAGCATGGGCCAGTAAGCTTAGTGCAGTCTTCCTCCATTTTTATGGACCTTTTTGCTAATTTGATTATTTTTTAGTACAGTATAATTTTTGGACAGCATGTGCTTGTAAATCAGGGGTATAACTCTGGCATATTTAGTTAAAAGAAAAAAAAAAAAAAAACTTATGGCCAGTAATATCCTCTACTTATGAGTTTAATCAGTTTTGTGATCTTGCTCGCATCTGGATTTGCTCATTTGTAGAGTTAATTTTCCTCATTTAAATTAATTGAAATGGAATTAATCCATCCCAGTGGAACTCGGTGAAACGGCCAACTTGTTAAAAAAAAAAAAAAAGTCAACCCATTCATGACTGCGCAATTAAAATGGCCACTCAAGACAGATATCGTTTACTCTTGAACATTGGCAAAAATCAAACATTTCTGTTAATTTGAGCTCAATTTTAAGGTACTTTTCATCATGAATTCAATCAAAATCATATCTATTTCTGTAATATATCTTCAAATGAGACCAAAAAGACGAGAATACAACCATAAAAAACATATGAAAATATACCGCTAAGGGGAGGCTAATGGCTGAGAAGTGAACTCTATTATTTATGGTCCGATTTCTTTCAATTTTGTACATTAAGAAGCATCTTTCCATCATATATTACCCAAGTTTCACTAAGATAGTCCAACAAACAAATGAGATCCAATTACATAGATCAAGAGCAAGAACCTTTCACCAGCATCAAGGAACCTCCCTTGAGGCCCACTCGCATCTGGAAATTTCGTTCTCGTCTGGAAGCAAAAAATCAACAGAACAACTGCTCGTATTTGGAAAAACTCGCACGTGGGTGCACTCGTAAGTAGAGGTTCCACTGTACTTATAAATTGTAATGCTTTTCAGTTCTTTGGGGAAAAGGGCCTAAACAGCTGTCTCCCATCAAGATGGAAATACATTGACCACCATTCATTCATTGTCTTGCCAGACATGTGCTAACATTAAAATGAAGATATCCCTCAGACTGCAACATCCCTAAACTTTCAGAGTATAGGCTGAGTCCTTCCCACCCCAAGGACTAACTAATTTTCCTGAATCCCTTCACAATGTTACCTTGCTCACACTCCAAGAGCACATTTATTAAAACTCATTTGTCTCCATTCGCTCCTAACATGCTCACACTGCTGAGTGATCAAGCCTCTAAAACTCAAAATATCATACTAAATATGCACTGTACTGACTGGAAATAACTTGTCTAACCTTCAGCTCCTTAACATCTTTTTCAGCACCAGGTATGCGGTAAATGCCAACTTCACTTAGGCCACGGTTCTCTACCTCATTGGTACAGTGAACCACCAGGGCAGGAACCATGGGAGGAACACGTGGAGTATAATCCGCAATTATGCTCTGAAATACAAAATACAGATACATATATTATGCTATACGTAATGCAATAAGTTCACAGTACTAGTTAAAACTGCAACAAGTAAAATAAATTTTTAAGATCCTCTAAAACATTTCTAACTTCAGTATTTGCAACACTTCCTTAAATATCATAGCACATTTTAATGTTTCTGTCATTAGCAACAACAGCCTGGTTGATCAGGTGATCAACAGGAAAGCCTGATCTCAACTGGGCTGAGGGTGAAGAACCCTCAAAACCAGTCACAGGTATGTCACACAAGTACAGGAGTGCCCCACTTACACAGCAAGTTAGGTTCCAGGCTACCACTTTAAAGCAAAAATCGATGTAATGTGAAACATAGCCCTCCCCCCTCTTTTTTTTTTATTTCCAAAGGCATAGAAAAGCCTGATAACATAATTACACTATTATACATTAAGCGAGTAATAAAGCTAGTCATTTAGAGAGAATGGATCAAAGTAGAATGACATGGAGAGCATATAAATTTGTAGGGGAAGGAAGGCAGGGTAGGGGTCATCCTCGAAAAGGTAAAGGTGGAGGGAGGGGGTAAAGGAGGTTTTGTGGGCGAGGGGCATGGACTTCCAGCAAGCATGCGTAAGCATGTTAGACAGGAGTGAATGGAGACGAATGGTATTTGGGACCTGATGAGCTGTTGGAGTGTGAGCAGGGTAATATTTAGTGAGGGATTCTGGGAAACCGGTTATTTTTATATAGCCGGACTTGAGTACTGGAAATGGGAAGTACAATGCCTGCACTTTAAAGGAGGGGTTTGGGATATTGGCAGTTTGGAGGGATATGTTATATATCTTTACATATGCTTCTAAACTAAATTTTAAAAGAGAAACTTTAGTTTTTCTTTTTTGGACCACCCTGCCTCAGTGGGATACGGCCGGTTTGTTGAAAAAATAAAAAAAGCTTTTAAACTGTTGTGTTCTGAGCACCTCTGCAAAAACAGTGATTATGTGTGAGTGAGGTGAAAGTGTTGAATAATGATGAAAGTATTTTCTTTTTGGGGAATTTTTCTTTCTTTTTGGGTCACCCTGCTTAGGTGGGAGACGGCCGATTTGTTAAAAAAAAAAAATTACTTACCTTAAAATATTTTTAGACTTAGCTTATAGTGAGTGTTTACCTGGAGAGAGTTCCGGGGGTCAACGCCCCCGCGGCCCGGTCTGTGATCAGGCCTCCTGGTGGATCAGAGCCTGATCAACCAGGCTGTTGCTGCTGGCTGCACGCAAACCAACGTACGAGCCACAGCCCGGCTGGTCAGGAACCGACTTTAGGTGCTTGTCCAGTGCCAGCTTGAAGCCTGCCCGGGGTCTGTTGGTAATCCCCCTTATGTATGCTGGGAGGCAGTTGAACAGTCTCGGGCCCCTGACACTTATTGTATGGTCTCTTAACGTGCTAGTGACACCCCTGCTTTTCATTGGGGGGATGTTGCATCGTCTGCCAAGTCTTTTGCTTTCGTAGTGAGTGATCTTTGTGTGCAAGTTCGGTACTAGTCCCTCTAGGATTTTCCAGGTGAATATAATCACGTATCTCTCCCGCCTGCGTTCCAGGGAATACAGGTTTAGGAACCTCAAGCGCTCCCAGTAATTGAGGTGTTTTATCTCCGTTATGCGCACCGTGAAGGCTCTCTGTACATTTTCTAGGTCAGCAATTTCACCTGCCTTGAAAGGTGCTGTTAGTATGCAGCAATACTCCAGCCTAGATAGAACAAGTGACCTGAAGAGTGTCATCATGGGCTTGGCCTCCCTAGTTTTGAAGGTTCTCATTACCCATCCTGTCATTTTTCTAGCAGATGCCATTGATACAATGTTATGGTCCTTGAAGGTGAGTGAGTATATTTACTGTAGGAAGTCTGAATAAATGAACAGTCTGGAGTTTTGAGACACTCTGATCGCGGGTTCTATCCCCGTCTGAATAAATGAAGCATGGGTATGATTGAAAACAGTTGTATTAGTTAAACACTGTAAAGCAGGGCTCTCCTGTACACTAAAATTTTAATTACTCAAACCAGGCCTTTAAAAAATTTCTTAAGGCTTTATGTTCCATTTCCACTTCAAGTATTTGTGCAAGACATCCTCTTCAATATTTTACAACGATAATGCATGAAGCAAACCTTGTTTAAAATTACACTTTAAAGTTGATACAATGACACAAACAGCAGAGATACTTTCTTTAGTAAAACATTTCACCTACATGAAGCTTTATCAAGAGTTTGAAAAAGCCTCGTGTAAATGAAACATTAATAAAGGTTGCCTTTTGCCAAGTGTGTCTTTGTACCACTTGTCGGGTTTGTCATACATTAACTACATCTACATTCTAATTACTCACTAGTTGGCCTTTAGCAGTTGGTGTGTTTGCAGTTGGAACACAGGGAAGGGGAACAGACTCACGACATTCTGGATGGCAAGTAGCTCGACAGTCCCTACACTTCAGTGCAACCTTCCCAAACTTTATTCTGCAAACAAAATACAGTAAGTATAATTTTTTTTTTTCAATGAACCGGCTGTATCCCAATGTTCAATCTAAACTCTTGGTCTTCCTTCAAATCAAAAGATAAATTTAAAGATGTTAATTATTCAATTTTTTTTTTCATCATGTATCAGTCAGCATCTTTCACAGAATTTACTTTATAATTATTTTATATTTAACATTCAAAAGAAAAAACATACATGTAGAAGAATGCAGAAAAAGACAAAAAGGAAAAAAAAAAAAAAAAAAGAGGGAAAGAAAAGATATGTGGACAACTAGCAAAGTCTTGTTTAACACAGCAGAAAGTGGAGAGAGCAAGAACTCAAACTTTAGAAGAGGGAATGTCAAAATGATGATGATGTAACTCTTGAATGCAATGCAGTGGGAAAGGGAACTGGAAGGGAAGTCAGTGGATGAGATGGAGTACCTAGCTGGAAAGTGCCAGAAGGCAGTACTTCATACCCAGAAGAAAGAAAGAGAGAGAGCGAGCCTTGATTTAACCAGACATGTAGAAGAAAAACAAAACACATAAAAAAACTATAGAAAGCAAGATAAGTGAGAACCAAAGAAAGCAGATTAACCAAGAGTAAATATGCAAAAGAGGAGAGAGGCTGAGCAACAATTTGAGAATTACATAGCAGCAAAGGCCAAGTCTGAACCAAAACTGCATAAAAGTCACACCAGAAGAAAGATGACAGAAAAGACCCGATTATTCAACAGATTGCAGACAAAGGGCATTAAACATCTTTAACGCACCCAGAGAAGACACTGCTGAGAAGAGATACATAGTCCTCCCCACCAACACCATTGCCAAACACATTTCCAACATCTTTTCCAATAACTCATTCCACGTATCTACCTCCACATCCACCACCATCAAGGACATTACCAGTAATAGACAGGACAAGCTTCCAACCTCTGCAGGGATATACACAATCCCTTGCAATGACTGCAGCAAATTATACGTCAGCGAAACATCCAGAGACCTCCAAATACATATTTCAGAACACCAGTACGCAGGCAGATCTGACGATCCAAGGAATGACTGTGTTCAACACTGAAATTCACACAACCATTTCATCAACTACATAAATGCAAGACTTATTGCCAGAGAAGACAACACTCAATACTGAAGAACCCTGAAATCCTCACTTATCTGTATATATCCAACAACTTCAACCAGAACAACAGCTTCCATAACATAGCTGAACCCCTTGCCAAGAAACTTCTTCATTGCTATCCCACATAAGAATGGAGGAACACTGCAGAAGGTCTACTCATATTCTTATCCAATCTCTTTTTAAAGCTACCCATGGTTCTAGACTATCACCCTTCTTGGAATACTGTCACATGCAGCATTCTACACTTGACCCAGCATTCTCCACCTGACGCCATCCTGTAAATACTTGCGTACCCTTCACCCAGGTCTGTTTGCGACTTGATAAAGCCCACTGCGTTGGCGAAACATTGTCAATAAAGGATCACAGTATACTGCTTAAGTGTTTATATTTCCAGAAGGATGGAGAACTCACGAAAAATGACAAGTCTGCAAAGTGTTGGACAAACTATTTGAGAAGTTTTTTCAGTGGAAATTGGGAAAATATTAGTAAGCCAAGGAAAAAGGGTATACACACAGGTACCAAACACTAGACACAACAGGCAAAGGGCTAAAAATATAAACCTGGTGGATTGGATTACATCAAGGGCAATGAGATCTAACAAGGCATCACCATGAATTTTGTGAGAGGGAGAAGCACAGTACAAACTATTAGTTAAGATCTACACCAAATCAATGAATAAGAGACAGTTGTCAGAGGTCTGGAGGACAATAAATGTAGTCCCGATATTTAAGAAAGCAAGCAGATAACTATAAACCAGTTTCATTATCATGCAAACCAGCAAAGTACAAATGGACAAAATACCCAGGAGTGTGATACAACACTTGGAGATGTGGGTTCATAAGCAATAACCAGTAGGGGTTGAGAAATGACAAATCTTGTCTTACCATACTGCTGGAAATCTACCAACCTATTAGAATTCTGACAAAATAACAAAAGTGAGACAGGAATGGGATAGGTAGATTACATTTTCTAGATTGAAAGAAGCATCTGATACCATTCCCTTCAAGAAACTAGGGCAAAAACTTTGAGGTGCAAGCAAGAATATTTTTAGATTATTCAAGGGGGAGCATTAAACCCATTGGGGTCTTACAGTGCCTAGGTAAATGAGAGGCATTTAGGTTTGATCCAAGAAAAGGGAGCACAGGTCCTTGCTTAAACAGGGATAATGGGGAATGTACTCCAGTAAATCAAAGAGTACCTTCGAGAAACAGCAGCAGTGACTGTACAGGAATGGGGAAGAGTAACACATGAGCTCCTGCCAAGGACCTGTAGTTTCTGGTTCATGTGAATTATATACTAGATGGGAAAGAGTCGAATGTATTTGCTAATGACGATAAGGTGAGAATAAACAGATGAGCACAAGGAAACTGCAAATGAATATGGGCAAACTGCAAGATTTTGTCAGGTAAGTGGTTGCTTGAACTGAGCCCTAGCAAATGAAATGTTATAAAGACTGGGAAAAGAGCAAGAAGACCAGACATAGGAGAGGGGCTGGGGAAACAGAGGCTGCAGACCTCACTCCAAGGGTGAGCATAGTGCCTAGCATATCACTAGCGGCTGACAACTAAATAAACTCTGCCGTAGCCCTCAGGAATGTCTAGTCATTCCAGGCCCTTTATACAACCTATGTCAGTTCCAGCTTAGCATATGCAGCACCAGAATGAAACCCACACCTGAAAAAGCATTTTAAGAAACTGGAAACAGTGCAGAGGTACACAAGACAAATTCCCAAGCTAAGGAGTATGAGTTACGGAGATGCTAATGGAATTGAATCTAACAGAGGAGAGAACCAGGAGAGACATAACATACAAAATACCCAGAGGGTTTAATAAAGTAGGCAGGAAGAGGCTGCTTGAGAGGCAGGCAGTAAGTACCTGAGAGCACAGCTGAAGTCAGAGAGACAGAGCCACAGAAATGTCTAGAAGTATTTCTTCAAACAAAGTGTTGGAGGCAGGCTCCAAACAGTTTTAAGAGCAGATATGATAGGGCCCATGAGACCAGGAGAGAATCTGGTAAGCCGCAAATTGAGAGGCAGGGTCAGGGGCTAAAACTCGACCCTTGCAACCACATATTGGCAAGTACAGTATGAAGACTTTTGTTGAATTTATGATTACTGTACTTTACAAAAATATACAAGAAACAAAAGATTAGTCAATATACCATTTTTTACTAAACCTAATATAATGCAAAAGGAACAAAAAAAAAAAAACCAACCTTTTTCCACATGGCTGGCAATGTTCAGTTTTATATATGTTTTTCGTGTAGAAAGCATGTACCCTCGTGTTCAATTTGCTTGCTGAGGAATAGTGCCGAATGATTGGGGTGTGTGTAGGAGTAGTATACGGAGTAACATTACCCTGCTGCAAAGGAAAAAAACACTGCAAAATCATAAACAGCATTAAATATTTTAGGCCATGAGTATCTGGAACAAAATTTTTTTACCTTATTCCATGCATAACAACTTTTTAAAATAAGAAACTTAAATAAAAATGGCAAATTTGTACCATATTATTTAACTTTCTATTTTTTATTAGACCTCACCCTGGTCTATTGTATTATTCCATCATTTAACTGATTAAACATTCATCTGGTTAGACCTTAGTTACTCCTATCCCTATTTAGATGACCAACTACTAATCACCCAACTTGATTGTGAAGTCACTAATAACAAACATGTGAATAGTCACCTTGACCTAGATTCATGGAACTTCATATTCATCAAGAATTGGAGGACAAACATTTCAACAGGTCTTGACATCTCTTGGACAGTCTAAACACAGGTATCACCTCATTAAAAATCGAAATTACTGATATAACCCCAATCTCAAAAATTAATACGCCAATATTATACAGATTCCAGGAAATGACTTCTAAACAATTATGTACCCCTTTTCCATTTACCAGAATAGTATCAACACTTACACCACTTAGGAAAATGTGTGTTTAGGACAAGATGCTTCTGCCTTTTGCAGCTGCTAGGCCACAACAATGTGGTTTTGGATGCACTGGAAGACAAGTAAAATGCTTACATAATTCACACTGACTTTGTAAATGCAGTTGCCATGTATGATCATAATGAAATAGCACACACAATATACACAAATAAACAACTAAAGAAGTAGACAGATGGACCCTAAACCTAAAAAACTAGACACAAAAAAGTAACCAAAATACAATCATAGGTCTTCACAATGAAAAGCTGTTCCTCAGGGTGAAGTGATGATTCCATTTACTTTTTCATTATCATAAGTGACACTGAAATATACAACTCAGTGCTTTAACATCATTTGCAGATCCTGTACTAAAATTTATAAATAGTACATCCAAGTACACAGTTTCCAAGCCAATGTAAATTAAACCCTCCAGTAAACCACAGAAAATGCCATGATATTCAACAAGGTAGTAGGTTGGTAGACAGCAACCACCCAGGGAAGTACTACCGTCCTGCCAGATGACTGTGAAACAAAAACCTGTAATTGTTTTGCATGATGGTAGGATTGCTGGTTTCTTTTTCTGTCTCATAAACACGCTAAGATAACAGGGATATCTTGCTACTCCTACTAACACTTTGGTCACACTTCACAGACACGCACATGCATATATATATATACATACATCTAGGTTTTTCTCCTTTTTCTAAATAGCTCTTGTTCTTTTTTATTTCTTCTATTGTCCATGGGGAAGTGGAAAAGAATCTTTCCTCCGTAAGCCATGCGTGTCGTATGAGGCGACTAAATGCCGGGAGCAATGGGCTAGTAACCCCTTCTCCTGTATACAATTACTAAAAAGAGAAGAAGAAAAACTTTATAAAACTGGGTTGCTTAAATGTGCGTGGATGTAGTGCGGATGACAAGAAACAGATGATTGCTGATGTTATGAATGAAAAGAAGTTGGATGTCCTGGCCCTAAGCGAAACAAAGCTGAAGGGGGTAGGAGAGTTTCAGTGGGGGAAATAAATGGGATTAAATCTGGAGTATCTGAGAGAGTTAGAGCAAAGGAAGGGGTAGCAGTAATGTTAAATGATCAGTTATGGAAGGAGAAAAGAGAATATGAATGTGTAAATTCAAGAATTATGTGGATTAAAGTAAAGGTTGGATGCGAGAAGTGGGTCATAATAAGCGTGTATGCACCTGGAGAAGAGAGGAATGCAGAGGAGAGAGAGAGATTTTGGGAGATGTTAAGTGAATGTATAGGAGCCTTTGAACCAAGTGAGAGAGTAATTGTGGTAGGGGACTTGAATGCTAAAGTAGGAGAAACTTTTAGAGAGGGTGTGGTAGGTAAGTTTGGGGTTGCCAGGTGTAAATGATAATGGGAGCCCTTTGATTGAACTTTGTATAGAAAGGGGTTTAGTTATAGGTAATACATATTTTAAGAAAAAGAGGATAAATAAGTATACACGATATGATGTAGGGCGAAATGACAGTAGTTTGTTGGATTATGTATTGGTAGATAAAAGACTGTTGAGTAGACTTCAGGATGTACATGTTTATAGAGGGGCCACAGATATATCAGATCACTTTCTAGTTGTAGCTACACTGAGAGTAAAAGGTAGATGGGATACAAGGAGAATAGAAGCATCAGGGAAGAGAGAGGTGAAGGTTTTATAAACTAAAAGAGGAGGCAGTTAGGGTAAGATATAAACAGCTATTGGAGGATAGATGGGCTAATGAGAGCATAGGCAATGGGGTCGAAGAGGTATGGGGTAGGTTTAAAAATGTAGTGTTAGAGTGTTCAGCAGAAGTTTGTGGTTACAGGAAAGTGGGTGCAGGAGGGAAGAGGAGCGATTGGTGGAATGATGATGTAAAGAGAGTAGTAAGGGAGAAAAAGTTAGCATATGAGAAGTTTTTACAAAGTAGAAGTGATGCAAGGAGGGAAGAGTATATGGAGAAAAAGAGAGAGGTTAAGAGAGTGGTGAAGCAATGTAAAAAGAGAGCAAATGAGAGAGTGGGTGAGATGTTATCAACAAATTTTGTTGAAAATAAGAAAAAGTTTTGGAGTGAGATTAACAAGTTAAGAAAGCCTAGAGAACAAATGGATTTGTCAGTTAAAAATAGGAGAGGAGAGTTATTAAATGGAGAGTTAGAGGTATTGGGAAGATGGAAGGAATATTTGAGGAATTGTTAAATGTTGTGATGAAGATAGGGAAGCTGTGATTTCGTGTATAGGGCAAGGAGGAATAACATCTTGTAGGAGTGAGGAAGAGCCAGTTGTGAGTGTGGGGGAAGTTCGTGAGGCAGTAGGTAAAATGAAAGGGGGTAAGGCAGCCGGGATTGATGGGATAAAGATAGAAATGTTAAAAGCAGGTGGGGATATAGTTTTGGAGTGGTTGGTGCAATTGTTTAATAAATGTATGGAAGAGGGTAAGGTACCTAGGGATTGGCAGAGAGCATGCATAGTTCCTTTGTATAAAGGCAAAGGGGATAAAAGAGAGTGCAAAAATTATAGGGGGATAAGTCTGTTGAGTGTACCTGGTAAAGTGTATGGTAGAGTTATAATTGAAAGAATTAAGAGTAAGACGGAGAATAGGATAGCAGATGAACAAGGAGGCTTTAGGAAAGGTAGGGGGTGTGTGGACCAGGTGTTTACAGGAAACATATAAGTGAACAGTATTTAGATAAGGCTAAAGAGGTCTTTGTGGCATTTATGGATTTGGAAAAGGCGTATGACAGGGTGGATAGGGGGGCAATGTGGCAGATGTTGCAAGTGTATGGTGTAGGAGGTAGGTTACTGAAAGCAGTGAAGAGTTTTTACGAGGATAGTGAGCTCAATTTTAGAGTATGTAGGAAAGAGGGAAATTTTTTACCAGTAAAAAGTAGGCCTTAGACAAGGATGTGTGATGTCACCGTGGTTGTTTAATATATTTATAGATGGGGTTGTAAGAGAAGTAAATGCGAGGGTCTTGGCAAGAGGCGTGGAGTTAAAAGATAAAGAATCACACACAAAGTGGGAGTTGTCACAGCTGCTCTTTGCTGATGACACTGTGCTCTTGGGAGATTCTGAAGAGAAGTTGCAGAGATTGGTGGATGAATTTGGTAGGGTGTGCAAAGAAGAAAATTAAAGGTGAATACAGGAAAGAGTAAGGTTATGAGGATAACAAAAAGATTAGGTGATGAAAGATTGAATATCAGATTGGAGGGAGAGAGTATGGAGGAGGTGAACGTATTCAGATATTTGGGAGTGGACGTGTCAGCGGATGGGTCTATGAAAGATGAGGTGAATCATAGAATTGATGAGGGAAAAAGAGTGAGTGGTGCACTTAGGAGTCTGTGGAGACAAAGAACTTTGTCCTTGGAGGCAAAGAGGGGAATGTATGAGAGTATAGTTTTACCAACGCTCTTATATGGGTTGAAGCGTGGGTGATGAATGTTGCAGCGAGGAGAAGACTGGAGGCAGTGGAGATGTCATGTCTGAGGGCAATGTGTGGTGTGAATATAATGCAGAGAATTCGTAGTTTGGAAGTTAGGAGGAGGTGCGGGATTACCAAAACTGTTGTCCAGAGGCTGAGGAAGGGTTGTTGAGGTGGTTGGACATGTAGAGAGAATGGAGCGAAACAGAATGACTTCAAGAGTGTATCAGTCTGTAGTGGAAGGAAGGCGGGGTAGGGGTCGGCCTAGGAAGGGTTGGAGGGAGGGGGTTAAAGGAGGTTTTGTGTGCCGAGGGGCTTGGACTTCCAGCAGGCATGCGTGAGCGTGTTTGATAGGAGTGAATGGAGACAAATGGTTTTTAATACTTGACGTGCTGTTGGAGTGTGAGCAAAGTAACATTTATGAAGGGATTCAGGGAAACCGGCAGGCCGGACTTGAGTCCTGGAGATGGGAAGTACAGTGCCTGCACTCTGAAGGAGGGGTGTTAATGTTGCAGTTTAAAAACTGTAGTGTAAAGCACCCTTCTGGCAAGACAGTGATGGAGTGAATGATGGTGAAAGTTTTTCTTTTTCGGGCCACCCTGCCTTGGTGGGAATCGGCCGGTGTGATAATAAAAAAATAATTCAACAAGGACAAACTTCAGCAATTCCACATTGCATTGTTTTAACAATCACTTCCCACCAAGGTATTGAGACCCAAAGGCACAGATTTGCCATCACTTTGGCACCTTTCCACAATTGCATGTACTTACATTACAATGAAAATGACCTACTAAACCATCATATCTGCCCTCCTTCAATGTGCAATCTGGTGTACTTCCCAACAGAATATAAAGTTAAGCTAACCAATTTTGATGAATCCCTTCACAGAGGTTACTGCATTCACTCTAACAGTACATCAAATCTCAAAAACCAACTGCCTACTCAACTCTTAACTTGTTCACACATGCCTGCAATAAGAACTGAAAAAGTACATGGTGCAATTAAAATATTCTA